AGTTAAAAATAAATCAGTTTTTACTCTGCTTATGAAGATTTTAGAATTTTTTAATTTCTTTTAATAAATGTTTTTTGAAAAACATTTCTTTAGCATTACCTTGCCAATACACTCATTCTCTAGATTTGTATAAGGAAATACATTCATTCTCTAGATTTGTATGAGGAAGTCCTTGCTACATCTAGAGGCAGGTGGCTATGTCAATGCTCATGTGAAAGTCATCCAGCTCTAAGGTGAAAATTTAAATTTCTATTGCCAGTAGGATGAAAATCAAAGATATTGAAGTCATTTTAATTCATAACTGGAAGTAAGCTGGGCAGAACTACAGAGCAGTCACACACTGAACCAGAAGGTCTATGATGGACAGCAGGATTACCAACTAGACCGTAAGTAGTAAATGACAAATATAAGTAGGTGATACTGGCAGGAGAATGTAGTTATGAGTCCTGAAACCTGTTGGGATGCAGAGACAGGGTAATATCTGAAACACCACTTTTAATGGATTCTGTTGTTAGGAAAGCTGTTTGAAGCAAGTAAGTGATGATACAATGACCCTTCTGCTAAAATTTGCAGTTTAACAAATCCTACATGTTGCTGTAACAGGTGATGAAGAGCTTGACTTTATTCCCATGAAATAATTTCTGGTTAGAGAGCTGCACGAATTGATGTATGTACAGAAGAAGAACTGATGTATGTTCAGTCTCAAGATTTGTAGTGCATCCATTTTTTAGTACTGCCAGTGCCACTAAGAATAGGCCCTTAGTCTGATGGAGGCCTGACACACTTCAGTGTGCAGCTGCTCTGTGGATGCACAACAGCACCGAATCTGCTGACTTGCTGTGCACGTGAGCTCGGTGCTCAGGACTCTTTATAGTCATAAGATAGATAACCATGATTAGTAACTGCCTGATTAGTGCAGGAATGGCAGTTGTAAACTGTCAAGAGACTGGAATGTGTGTGTGAAGATAAAATATAGCAGTAAAGGTGGGAGATACAAGTTAAGTAAAATTAAATGTTGCAGCAAGAGATAGCATTGGTAAATGTGGTTAAAGCCAAAACATTTCTTTATGGGAGGAGCTGAAAAGCTGCTGACTTTCTTCCTGTGAGTCTGCAACATGCTGGGGAGTTTATAGGGCAGGCTTGCCTGATCGCTAAGAGACAGTCAACACAGCACTTTTGCATGGAGGATGACTGCAGCACAATAGCAGCACATTGCAAAGAGAAGTAGCAAGTCCCTTGATGGAGAAAGAGGAGTGCAGGAAGGGACTTTCTGCTCTAGACCTTCTGTGCTGCTAGGAACAAAGAGCATATTTGTATATGTGTGTATACGCAAGACTTAACATATTATTTATCACAGTCACAAACTAAAATCCTGTTTTCTGCCAACTTACTGCAGAGGATCTGGCTACATCCTTGGCTACGCTAATCAGTTAGGCACAGAAACAGTGGTCTTCCTACCTACATGAAAGGGCAGGATTAGTTGCTGTGCTGGCTGCTTTGGCCTTCTAGCCACTTTGCCGCTTTGGGCTTCAGGTCAGATGACATACATGCCATCATTAACAGCCTACATGACTCTTGACTCAAAGTGCCTGTAGCAGGCCTGAATGTGTAACAAAGTGGAGGACGAAGGAAATAATCAACCAGTTAGCAACTTAGCAACATCCAGGTCTGGAGCATACATGATTTAGTCCAGTGTAATAGGCCTGTAAAGGATCATAAAACCCTACAGCTAGACAGCAGGTTAGCAGGTATTATACATCTGTAAATATAATATATTATATGTAAACTGGCAAGAATCTACCTTCAAGAGCTGCTGTGTCATAGCATGAACCCCACTTTATGGACACTGAGCAACATAAATGACTTTCCAGTCCACAGAAAAAAGTCCAAGAAGTGATGACACTGTTTTGGGGGTGGGAAGAAAGATCATTGGCCAGTATTACACCTATTTTAATTGGGGAATTTAAGAGGATTATGACTGAGTTGACTTCCTTGGTAAGTCAGTGGAAGCTGAGGTTCCTTTAAAACTTTCTGTTTGTAGCTGATTGGTATTCAACTTTGATCCCTTCCATTCCAAAATGACATACAGAAATGGAGAAAAGCAATACTTGCATGCAGAGAGCACCTGGGCAAAAGTGGCTGTTTCAGAGCTGGTAGAGTGAGAATAAATAACCAGTTGTATCCGTTTACATCAGTAATACATTGAGAAACTGCAATCGATTTAGAAGTCTGTTTCCAAGCACTGGATCATAGCCCTCGGGAGGCTATCTCAAAAGAAAGCTCTAGCAATGTGTGGCAAAGTCATTTCTATCGTCTGATGGAAAAATCCAGTTCTTCTGATCCTCCCATCAGACCAAGCACCCAAGTCAGTCTTTTAAAATACTGAAATAAGAGGTAGTAAACAGAGGGTTACAAATGGATTTCTTTACTCTTACTGTAAAGCCAATTCATACTTTAGCTAGTAAGGCATCAATCCAAAAATTTTAAGAACTGCTAGAGGACAATTTATTTGACTTATTCCCAAAGGATATTTTGGGAAGGTGAGAAGAAGTCACCTCAACACAAGACATTAAGATAATAATATAAGCTAATTTACATATAAAAAAGTGAACTTGCAGGTATATTTAAAAGAATATCAATAAAACATCTAGACATATGAATGAAAAAAATGTTCAGTTGTGGTAGTTAAAATAAATATGACTAGAATTAGCAAACATTTTATCCTTTTTGTACATTATTGCACAGTTATAGAAGACATATTTGAACTTGTTGTGTTTTGTGAAATGTTTGATGTTTCTTTCTGTTAAAAGTAGCTTACCAGATTTGAGTAACATAATTCTTTTACAGTATCTTAATGCCAATACTCTTAAGAAAGAGAGAAATAACATATCTTCAGAGAATCTTATGGAAAAGTAATCATAACAATAATCTGAAATACAGAATGAACACATTTATTGGAAATACTGAATATGAACCTTACAAATAAATTAATCGTGCTAGTGAAGTCTCTTTCTTAGTGGATGACCTTGTTAATTCATCACTCACTTCCATTTTCAGAATTGGAGATTAAAGGTCTTCCCTACCAATATATTCTGCCATTTGAGCTATTCTGTGATGATCAATACTCAGGCTACTATGTTAGTACTTTGTGAATTAGAAAAAAGTGGCTGTTGATTGAAGAGTGTTTCATTTTAGTTCAGACATAACACTCCTCCCATCTCCCAAATGTGTGCAACATAGTGTCAAGTGCATCAAAGTAATGCCTACAAGTGACTGACAAAACTAGGATCTCCAAGGTAAGAACAGCAAAGGGAAGACTGATCACAACAGCTTTTCTAGGAAAAACTATGGCATGGGGTCAGTCACATTTTCCCAAGGAATAACAGGAAACCTGTTTCCTTTCCCAAGGAAAAAGGCAAAACAGGGAAAAAAAAAGAACTATACAGCCTCATCAGCAAGCACAGGTGTCTGAACAGACCTAGTGAACTGTCTTGCCCCAAAATCTGATGAAATCCTCTGAGATTTTTCTTTCTATAACCAGTCTTTTATAAAGTGTCTCTCTCCCTTTCCAGTGTTGTTGAATCATTCATGTTGCTGGCGACAGTCCTTGTGGAAGATTCTGCTCTGTTGTCAGGTCAGACACTGAGTTGTAAATTACGTTTTCCTTCTGCACATAAGTAGTATAAGGTTCCACTTCCATTGTGTCATCCTAACAAAACAAAAACCAAAAACTGTAAATGCAAGGGGTAGTTTAATTTGGCAGGACTCTGCAAGTCTTTCATCTGGACTGAAGAATGTAACTGGGAAATAGTGCTCCCACATTTATTCCTCTTGGACTCAAGAAAAAAACCTCTATTGCCTTTTCTACCAAAGAATGTGTATTGCTGTTTCTGTCAGAGATTTGGAGGGTAAAGCTGAGGTATTGGTTCACCTGCCTCCTTTTCCTCCCCTTCTACTTATTTGGGCCTGAAAAAAATTCTATTAGGGTCTAATTCTCTAGAAAGAGCAAATAACATGCTAGAGTCTTGACCATGATCGATTCCTCCATCAGTCTACAATTTCAGTCTCCTTCCATTGTTTTATAAAATGTTTTGTCTTGAGTATGGTTGCTTCTTTGATTGTGGACTGGCCATATAAGATAAAAAGTGGCCTTCAAAACTTGCACATTATCATTCTGGACATCAAGAGAGATATTCTTTTTTTCCCCTGTGTCTGTTAATTTTGTTGTTTAATTCTCTTGTTTACTAATAGCTTTCTTAATATTCCCCAACCCATGGTATTACAGTATCCTTCCTGAGTATTGTTTGTACAGCAGTTGTGGTCAGTGTATCTGACATGAGCAGGGAGATGTGGTGGGACTCACTCCTTGCTAAGATAAAGGATGGAAGTTGCTGAGCCTTTGCTGTTGGGACATGCCTCTAATGTGTGCTCCAAGTCAAAATTATGGTGATGATAGGCTTCGTTTTGTCCTGAGATACAGCTAAAAGCAAACAGGTAAGACACAGTAGCACCTGCTGAAAGCGGAGAGTAAAAATCTAATGATTTCCCTTTACTGACCATGTTTTCAGGGCTACCAGAAGATCCCTGATTTGGTGATGGTCAAATTTGCTCATTCTCCTTACCTGTGGGGAATGTGTAGGAGCAGTCTCGGGAGCTTTGGTTTTGTGGCACAGTCTGTGAAAAAGAAAACAAATATTAAAGCAAATTCCTTCTTCAGTCCTAGGTTTGGCTGGATCACAGCCTGGTTTCTTTGATCACAAGCTTAGGAAACATTTCTTTTTCTTGTCATCAACAGTAAAGCCAAAAAGCCTTCTCATGTCTCTCCCTCCTTGACTTTTGATCCTGAAATTATGGCACCCTGACATTCTTTAGAGGTCTTTTCTCATGTTTGTGGGAGCTTAAGCACAAAGTGGAGGCAGAAGATTAAAATCAAAGTCCTCTGAAAGGATGTACAATTTGCAGTTAGTGAAACTGTATTGAACCATTCTTCGCCTCTAAGGGAGAAGCTTTGGGAGGAAAACAGTTTTGGCATAGGAGAAGGAGGGAACATAGCTGAGGTTTTCAGTACAGATGCTAATTCAGCCTTTCTCTGCACAAATGATTTCTGTAGTTTTTCCTTGGAACTGCTTTTTTCTCCACAGCCAGTCCTAAAGGGGCTAGAGTCCAGCTTCACCCAGGGAGCTTTTTCGTAAATACAGATACAATCTGCTGTCCCCTCTATTGATATGGCAGGATAGCACCGGTCAGTCCTCTGGCACTTGACAGAACCAACCCCCTGCTCTAAACAAGAGAAACACTGGCAGACTATCACCGTATCTGAAGAACAGTTTCCAATTAGAATGAAGAGTTCCCCTTTAGTGTAGCAGGCAAGACAATGAGGATCCTCTGCCAACTTCTGCCCATTTATATTTTACCAGGTGCATTGTTCAGTGAAGATGTGTGCAATGCAGTGTCTGCAGTATGGAAATATTTGATGTAGTTAATTCAGTTATTCGTAGCAGCACAGACTGACAGAAACATATGATTTCAAGACACAAACAGTACTTAAAGATTTCTTCTAGCAATCTTTCCTTAGCACCCTATCGTACATACCTGTCTCTGTGGAGCTTAAAATAGTAAATGACAGCCATGACGGTGATAATGCTCAGGACACCAGTGATGATGGAGACAGGCAGGATAAAGCTGTTCTCTAAGCACAAAGAATTGATCTTAGTCATATCTTCTTACTGCTCAGTTTCTTTATTATTTCAGTATAAGATTAAAGCTGCTTTAGCACCTACACACATATTCAGCATGTTTGTAAAATAAATATAATCCCCTTCAGCAGAAGGGAAAGTCAGTAATGAAACTTGTCTGAGAAACACAAATGGAGTCTGTGTCAGAGACAGAAGCAGATCCCACAAATCCCACAGTGGACACTCATGATAATTTTTCACTAAGCCATATCTGAGCTCCTCTCAAGGACTCAGCATATCTCAGTACTGCAACTCATGGGTAATTCTCAAAAGCAACAAAAAAAGCAAAAACCAGAACCCAAATGTGTTGGTGTCAGACATTCACAACTCGGAATGAAGCGATTTATTTGTTTCTGCTGGCCACACAGGAGTTGGTTCTCTTTCTCTTTCTTACCATGACCTGAGCACGAGACTTTAGGTTTGCATCAGAAAAAAATTTTGCTGATGTTCTGCTTCCAAGTGATTATTTTAACACTCGGACCGTGACTGCTTTGTCTCTGTTTCCAAGAACATTTCCACTACCAAAAGAATGCTACCACGCTTATGTATATCCCTCTTAGGGAAGAAACCATTAGGAAATAGTGTCTAGAACACAGACAAGCTGGTGATGTTTCTGGGAAAAGGCAGTTGGGGATGGTACTCTTGTCTATATGGGACTTCACTGAAGGATTCTATAGCTTTTCCTTCCTAGAAGGACCAAGAGTGTGCACAGGAGGCTAACCAGGATTTTGAGTGCCGAACGCATGAAGGGAAGCTTACTTGAGGGGTGACAGGCTATGGACTTGCTCTGGTTCCCAGCTGGGTGGGACACAATGCAGGTGGTATTAGTCACGTTGCTGCTGTGTGCTGTGAACTTGCTGAGAACAGTCACTGTCCCGTTGTCATGGACTTCTTCCTTGGGGGTGGAGTTGTTCTCTAGGACCCACAAGACCTGAGCAGCCGGCTTCCCCGCCAATGGCTCGCACACA